GGCTCGAGGTCCCACCCCAGCGAATGCCCGGTTGTTCGGACAGAGCGAAGCGGATTCGGAAGGAGGAACCGAGGACAACCTCCGTCCTTGCCTTCGTTTTGAAGTTCTGTGGTGTATCAGAGCGGGAAGAAGGCTCCTCGGCTGCGGTCTCGCAGGCCGGAGAGTGGCCTTGCAGTGGGGCCTTGCGACGGGGCAGGCCCGACCTCCCGTTTGGCTCCTGTGGAGAAGGGGCATGGGGCACCCAGCGCCGGACGAGGCACTGCACTGAGCTGCTGGCCCCGGCGAGGGGACCCCCCAGCCAGCCTGTGGGTCTTATCCACAGCGCTGCGTGAGGTGCCTGGGTGTCTGAGGACTGTGGACGTCGCAGGGGGGAGGTACACAACATGGCAGTGCTGAAGGCTCTGGTAGATTTGCAGGTGTGAAGTGGCAGGGGGGTTACGAAGTAACCACCCCAGTTCTGAGGCAGATGTTATGCACCTGCAGTTAGTCCTCAGATTTCTGCTGTTCTCATTTGAATGTGCTTTTTATTTCAGATTGCATTTAAGCGTTGGCTGATAGCTGAGACACCTCAAAACAGGTTATATATCTGTGCCCCAGGAGGCGGCTTCAGCCATTTTACTTAAATCAGTGACTACAGGCTTGTAGGACCTATATACCTCTGCAGCACGTTCCCAGTCCCCTTCTTCATGTTGCAAGAAATGCATTTCAAGAAGACTCACGCTATGATTTTTCACAGCAACTGAAGTGATCTTGTATGGCTTATGGTTTCCTAGTTCGCTCTTCCCAGCTATCTTCCTGAAGCCTCAGTAAGTAGGCAAAATCAAGCTTACCCAAGAAATGAGAATTGAAACCTGTCACCAAATAACAACAACAAAACAGAAGGGGAAAGATGCCTGGCAAATCCAAGATAACCCTGCAGAGCAGGAAAGAAAGGTGTCTGGTGGCACCTGCGGAATAAGGAAAACCCAGAACATGTCCCGATCCCCAAAATAAGTCATCAAGAGTGGATGAGATCACTCCCTTTTCTTTTGGGTAGGGGGGGATGGGGAGTGTAAAACATCAGCTGAGTAGAGAAGAAAGAAGGCAAACTGCCTGCAAGGAGCTTTCAAGCCTGATCACCCTGGCCCTGGTGACCGAGGGCGTAGTCATCAGCGCTGACTACATAGCATCAGCTCTGCTGTGTGGTGTGCTTACGGCTCATCTGCGATGGATTTGTTAAGGACTAACTGGTTTGTGTACGTAGTGATAATGATTGGTAGTGATTAAGAACTATTAGCAACATGAACTGCTTACGACCATCAGTGCTTCTTTTGAAGCTTGAAACTGGCTTCATTTATCCATTTCCTTAACACCCCAGTCACGGCGATAGCCAGTTCCCTAAATGATGTATGGAGTTATATGTTGATTTGTAACACTAAGGATCTGAGCTTTCCTCTTTTAGAAGAACATTACGTATGCCTGTGTACTTGCTGATTCCATTATAATCTTCATTCAGTTAGCCAGTTAATAATTGGTAATCGTTACAAGGAATAAAAAAATTAATCAGGTTGCTGGTGTTCCAAGTTGCTGCTGCTGCTGTTACTGTTACCAGATTCTTCACGGTTTCCATGTATAACCATTCTGTTTGTGAAATAAAAAAATTTCACATTGTCTTTATTACCTTACTGTGCTAATAATATTTGAATGCTGAACCCAAAATAAGTTCAATGAATATATTTTAGAGGGAGTTGTATAAATGGTTTTTCTTTCCTACAGGACAGTTTGTTTAATTAGGGTGTGACTCTGTTTCAGATGCTCTTCAGCATAGTTCTTGCTTAAGAAAAATCTTTTATCAGTTTTTCTCTATTATGACAGAATATTTGCAAGCAGAATTCTGAATTACAACGTTTCCCAAATATACATACATAGCTAGATAATTTTATTAGTATGGTTTATTTACCTTATGTGTAAAATTAGAACACAGTTCTCAGTCAAAGACTAGAAAAAAATAAGGATTCATTTTGCTGTTTGTTTGACTTAAAGGTTGTAAGTGTATGTTGCCGCTTGCCGTCTGTGGAATGTTTAAGTTGTCAGACAGCAAGCATTACATGCACAGGCATTAATTAAAATATGGTCTCCTGAAGAATGCTAATGAACCGTAGTGGGACAAGGCATTCATTGCTTCAGAAACATGCATGGAAGGAGCTGCAAAATGACTGAAGAAACCTGTGAAGCAGAGGAAACTCAGGTGTCTGTATTTCTTCTTCTCTGCTAAGTAGCTAAGACAAGTTTCAAATCTTTTCTCCCAGGGTAGTTACAGACCTTTTTCCCCTATTAGAGGCTGTAGATGTGGATGTAATTTCAGGCAGATAAAATGAGATCTTACGACTGAAGTAATATTTCCTGTTATTTGAGGAGTAAAACAGAAAAAGCTGTTCTTCACCTTTGTGATCCTTCAATATGCAATCCTCCCTACTGAAGATTTTAAAAGGTGCTTTCAGAAAATTTCTTAGCCTGTGTGGCCATTATACCTTTCCAGAAATCTAGTTGTGTAAAACAGTTACAAATATCCACTTAACCATTGTCATTTAATTATTACTTAAAGTACATTTCACGCTATGCTTTATCTTGCTGCTCAAACACACCTGACATGGTAAAGCATCACCATTTTAAGTACCTTAGCTTGAATAATCTTTCCTTTGGGCTTGCTTTGACAGATTTTACATAAATAATGGAACTCGATATCCAGATATTAATTCCTGCTTACTTGCCAGTACAGTGCTCAATTTTTGATAGATTAAGATTACTAAAAGAAGCCTGCCAGGTTGTAGTACAAATTCATCTTCCTTCTTCCCATCCTTCATACTTGAAGAAGCAGCCCTGAACAACTCTGGCACCTGCAAAACACACGAAGGGCAGTCAAGTACACTAACTACTAACATGGTTTCATCCCACAGTTCCAGTGCGATTTGTGCAAAGTCATGCTGTGGAGGAAAAAATCACCAGACCTTAAAACTGCTTGAATTTATCCCTTCTTTTAAGGTTCAGTGCATTTTCTAACCTCTGTTCTCATGTTTTTGAAACTGCAGTGAACAAGAAGTGAGCTTCTTTGTGTCTAAAAAGTCAGTGCGCTGCTGTCTATGCTCGTGATAGT